CTGACGATGTATTTGTCACAGATAATTACGTCGAGATTATTCCTTACCGCCACCCAGAAAGGACAACAGCTGTGATGTGATTGCACCCAGATCAGAGTAGGAGCAAAAGTGTCAGTATAATTATTGTAGTAGTCTTTTCTCGTAGCCTGACTACGTAGATATATTGCAGAGGTACGCTAAAAATGTAGGCTACAAAGGCAATGTTAAAGGAAACATGCACCTTGGCTGCCATGCTGATTGGTTGTCAGGCGGGCCTGTGAGGATTTTGTAGATCTGCTTTTGTCAACTCTTACAGTGCCTAAGGGAGTTTATAATAATATCCACTAAAGACTAGGCTCACCCACAGTTGCGCAGCTTAGCGATTTTCGTCTGTTTGCTGCTTGACAATGCTAGATTTTTTTATCCACAAGAGCTCATCAAGTTGTGCGTCTATTTTGTTAATGCTTGTTTTGCGTCCAGGTCTGTTGTTCGAAATTCTGGGTGCTTTGTAGGTCGATCTTTATTACCAGGCTGAATTTTTCGGTGAACCAGGAACAGCAAGAAAACGAATTCAAAGTTGCCGGCACTTTTCAAGAATGAAATAGTTCATTCTGGTCTGCGCAACTGCTTTTGGTTGCATTTTTGCTTTTAGCCTCGCATATATTTTTCCCTCAAGCCCCATATCACAGTGACTTATATTTCCCCGAGTTTTTATTTTTGTCTTACCTCCTGTTTATAGACAAAGGTTAAGGGAGGAGCGCCTGCGGCGCATGGAGTATGAGCAAAAGTTGCACGATCTGAAAGTGGAGATGCGGCAGAAGGAGACTAGTTTCAGCGCCATGACGGCCAAGGTTGACGAATTCCAGGCCAAAATTACGGCGCTCGAAGCTTTACTAGCCCAGGAACGCGAAGAACGCAACCGACTGGAGACATCTCAAGCTCACCTGGCAAAGCTCAACGAGCAACTGAAGGAGGTACGTGTGTTGTGTTCACGATATTACGCCTTCTACTCCTCGCCTTCTCCCCCCTCCCCTCCCGCATGCTC